ACTCCTGGGCTCAAGCGATCCTTCTGCCTCAGCCTCCCGAGTAGCTGGGACTATGGGCACGTGCCACTACTCCCGGCTAATTTTTTCTATTTTTATTAGAGACGGGGTCTCACTCTTGCTCAGGCTTGTCTCGAACTCCTGAGCTCAAGCGATCTTCCCACCTTGGTCTCCCAGGGTGCTAGGATTACAGGTGTGAGCCACCTTGCCCGGCCAGAAATATTTAATAATACTAGATGTCTCAACCCGGGCCCTGTTGGCATGTAGGCTGGGCATATTTGGCATAATTTGGGCTGGATAGTTCTTTCTCGTGGGTGGTCCAGTCCTGTGCTCTATGAGATGATTAGCAGTGCCCCTAGTCTCCACCCACTAGATGTCAGGGGCACCCCAGCTCACCACACCCTGGTTGTGACCATCAGCAGGGATGGGACTCAGAGTCGGGCTTCTAGATACTCACCTCCTTTACATGGAAACAGGGTGGACTGGAGAAGTTCATGAACCTCTCTAAGACTCAGTTATTTGTGTGGATAACAGTAGTAATCGCTGCTGCATGACATTTTGGGGAGATTCACTGAGTGAAGTCATGGCCAAGCGCCTACACCATGGACTGTCATGCAGGAAGGACTTGCTATAATGTCACAGGAAAGGTCTTTTGAAACAAGGTCAGGAATAAACAAACAAACCTAGAATACTGGCCACGATGGAAACAAGGCCTGGTCCAGCACCAATTTCAAGTATTTTAGCATCTTGGAGATTCAGTTCATCTGTATGTTCCTCCAAATAGTGACACAAAGCTGTAGCCTAAAAAACATTTATTATAGTCTTCAACTGGGCATTGGAACACTGGAAACCAGCTGTGACCCCCTCTGCCACCTCAGGTTGAATACTAAAATACGTGTTATTAAATATTTTCAGCTTATTCATTATTGAGTTTATTGAATGTATATATATACATTCAGTGCCATTTTTAGACCTCTGGAATATAAAAGTTATAATAAATTACATCTAAGGAACTGGAGAAACAGATTTGTTAGATTGCCTACATCAGATTTGACCAATCTCCAAAGAAGAGGAAGATCAGCAAATCAGCTCAGCTCTTACAAATCAGGCTAAAAAACAGCAACTTCTGCTGGTTGAATCATATTGGGTCTCCAACTTGCTTTAAGAATGTTGTATAAACTTGAACACTCTCTTCTGACTCCTCTTTCAAAATTCAGGTTGGTTAGGAGTTTATCTGCTGGATTGAACAACGAGGCAGTTATTTTATTTTGTTAAAGACATATGTCCTCATTCAGTAGGTCTGGGGTGGGGCTTAAGAGCCCGCATTTCTAAACAAGCCCCCAGTGACGCCGTCTGCTGGACCATGGACCACGCTTTGAGCAGTAGTGTCAAGGAAATTTTTTTAAATGTTCTATGTGTGAATAAATCTTCTATACATGAAATCAAACGTCCCTTTCCTTCTTTATTCATTCTGTCCCTCCACCTTCCCCTCACCTTTCTACAAAGAGTAAAGGGTATTTGATTTGCACTGATCTGTTTACATTTACACCGATGAGGCCCGGTGAGCCGTGCCTTGGAGTAGAGGGGTTAGCAAGAGTTATGCATGAGAAAGCGACTTAAAATTGAGTATAAACAGCCTAGAGCTGGGAATGTGAACATTGAGGGGATTTTGTTTTTTGTTTTTTGTTTTTTTAATGAGCTCTATAATTTGCTTATAGGCTTAGGCCCTCTCTAACGATATGCCCTCATCTTCCTCCAGGCTCCGCTTTCTGTTTTGGGCCCATGTTGGAGTGAGGGGCGGCCAGGACCTGACCCCGTAAGTCACTCCATTCCATCCTCATCTGTTCATATTGAACAGGCACGTGCAAAGGTGAATGTGACAGTCGCCTCTACTGTCCAGGAACTCAGCAGTGGGGCTGGGAGGCACATAAACCAGTTATAAATTGTGTTCCTGGGAGGTTAATGGCATATAGGAGGCATATACTGGTAGCGGGGGTGGGAGGGGGCAGTGGAGCCACTGAGGAGCCAGACCAACTTCCTGGGGCCGGGGAGAGGTGAGCCCGGCATCCTAGCGTGAGAGGCGCCACAGGCCGGGCGGCAGGTGAACCGGCAGCACGGTGTGAAATCGCACCATCCGCAGCATGTTGCAAGGAACTCTGGAACTGGAAGAAAGTTTTGAAGAAAGGGGTTCTTAAGGAGAGATGGTAAGTATTTGCTGTAAGGGGGTATTCCATATGAGGGAGAGAGGGTTACCTAGAGTGATCCAGAGGACAGGTGTCCAGTGGACAAGTGTCGAGGGACTTCCTGGAGATGGCTTCCTGGAGTAGGCACGCCCCTTCCGAGCCCTGTCCTGGGTGGGGCTGGCTCCAGGGGTGTGTCATGTAGAGACAAAGCTTAACCAAGAACGGCCAGGTCTTTTGACATAGCAAGATACACCCCTTCGTCCTGTTAGAGAACTCTGAAGTGATCTTTTCACAGAGTTGCACTTGAAGTCACATAAGAAAAGGGTGTCTTCCCACTTTGTGTTCCCTTCTGCAGCTTTCAGGAAACAGGTTTCAAGGGAGTCCAATGTTGGGGGCGTGAAAGACTGACTGACGCCTTGTTGAGAATAAAACGGTCAAGTGGACCAATACTCTTTTTCCCATTTCTGATCTCGCACTCTACTGCTATACAGCTATACCACGGCCATAGCTGTTTATTTGCCAAAAGTATTATAATAGGAAGCTGTGGAGTAGTTTGGTGGCTTTCAAACTTGTGTTAAGGCAAAGAAAAGCCTTTGTTTGAAGAAAATCATACTCCTATGCATAAGGTGTAAATATACAGCCTTCTTGTTTGGAAAGGGGGAGCCCTAAGAGGCTTGCACCCTCTGGCTCACCCTCCCCCTCACTTGCCACCATCCCCTAGACCTGCTGAGGGAGCCCCATGGACCATCTGAACGTGACCAAGGGTCCCTGGACCAGCAGATGCACATCACCTGGGAGCTTGCAAGAAATGCAGTCACAGCCACCCTCCACCCCCAGATCTCCTGAGTCAAAATCTGCATTTTACCAGGATCGCAGTATGATTCACACACCTGCCAACCATCGAGGAGTTCTGATCTGGAGCCTTTCTATGCACTGACAGCCTCTGCAGTGGAAAGAGCACGGTGCCAGCTGGCTCTGCACGTGCCCCCAGCAGAGAGAGTCGCTTTCCAAACCAGTGAACCTTTCCCAGCCCCCATTCCTCAGCTATAAGGTGGAAATAATATTACACTAATAACTACAGCTAACAGGAGCTTACATGTAGCACTTCATTTAGTTCTCACAGCCTGAATTTAATTCTCACAATTTCGTCCGCCATGGCAGGAACTAGACATCACCACCGCCCCATGTTTTAAATATGGAAGTGAAGGCAAAGGGAGGCTAAGTCAACATTGCTGACCGCACCACATGGAAATGGCAGGGTTTCTGGCTCTAAACCCAGAATATTTCCCCCATTTCAGTGTCATTCTTGCAGGGGTATTGCAGAGGTAACATGAGATGAAGTAATGCTTCCTAAAACGTTTCTGCTAAAGTATCCACCCTGTGAAAGAGACATGAATGGCCGAAGGTCAGTGGGTGTGTCCCAAAGGTGCCTACTGCAACTAAGCTCTAATTTACCTGGGGTTTTTGCTTAAAAATTCATGTGAATTTTGCATCCTACTTCCTGATATACTCAAGTTTATTTACTGTAAAATTAATTTTTCAAGAAACATAGCTTAAAGCAAAATCAATGCTTTTAGAACAAATACTATTTTTTTGCAGATCTCAAGCACACCACCGACACCCCTCAGGGGGCCAGGCAATTGAACTTCAATTTGAGAAGCACACAATGTTCAAGCACTTGACAAATTATCCAAGGCCACACAGATGTACGAAATTATTTCCAGAAATCCTGACATCACAAATGTAACAGTTCTCTCACCCCTGGCCACACCACTGCTCCATAACTCTCTATGGATTCTTGAATGACTATCTTCTTGCCTGCAAACTGATAATACTCCTGAGTGTAGCTGGCATAATCTGTAGGAACAAATTTCTGGAGGCTATGAAGAGTTGCTTCTATCTTGTTAGAATCTGTGAAGCAGAAAAATAAAATGGGTTTCATGATTTGTTCATCCAGTGCAAATACACACTTAGTACAATGGGTGAGATGGGAATAGGGTGTTCCAAAAACAGAGGGTTGAGTCTATCAATGACAATGCCTGCAAATTAGCACAAAACTGAATTATATTGGGATGATGGGGACATGAAATTCAGATGTGACCTTTTAATAACACAACAAAATGCCCAAGTATGCCCTGGGTCTTTCCTTCATTTAGGAGAGGACAAAAGAGGTGTGGATCCATCCCCACCCTGTGTTTTGCTGATGGGAAGAAGCTAGCTTTCCAGCACACTGGCACAAATGAGCTATCTGGAGAAGGAGGAACTGGGTAAACATGGACCTGGCTATTTTTAGGTCTTGAAGTGATGTAACATTCCCACGTGTTGGCTGGAGCATGTTCCTTAAATCCTTCCTACAACTGCTCCTCAAAAGGTCCAGGCCGCCCAAAGCCCAGCCAGCTCTACAGCCCTTGAGGAGGGGCTGAGCTGTCAGATGAGCTCTGGCTATTAAGTTACTACTGCTTTAAATACTCCTCTAAACCCACAACCCACTCTAGCAGCTCTAAAATATCATATAAAATGAGAGGTAAAGAACACCTGATCGGGCTGACATCATGGAATCACAAACCACTGCAGGTTTTCCAGAATGTTTAAGGATAAAAAGAGTGGTGAGTGAGAGTGCCAGGAAGGAGGATGCTGCGCGAACACATACGTAGTGGCCGTCAGGAGCAGAGGAAAAGGTGTTGGCACCGGCAGTGGGAAAGAGTTCACACTGCAGAGTCTGGGAAGGTCAGTTTTATTTGCATGAAATTTGCCTTTGTTGCCTGGGATGTGACTGGAAAATGTTTAACTAGGGCTAGAATATGGGCTTTGGAAAAAGCTAGAAGGAGCAAGTCAATATTTGAAGTGCTCTACTCAGAAACACGCTCTCGGGGTGCCAGAGGAGGGGCGTGGGTGGGGGAAGTGAACACAGGCAAAGGGAAGTGGGCCTTGGAAGAAATCTCCGCAGTGCATCCCGCAGGGGCAGGGGCAGGCACCACAGGCTATTTCAAGTATCGCTGATTTCAATATACACTAGAGCAGTTCTATGCTGCTGGTCTGCAGACCCTGTGTAACAGGTTCATAGTAAGTACAGAAATTTGAAGCACTTAGAAATATTTACAATAATTGGATGATGTCAGTTGAATCTAATTACCCAAAAATGGGGCTTATATTTTATGTCTGTATATTTTCATTTTGTTTTTCTAGAAATTCATTGTTGCTGTGTGTGACGAAAGTATCAGTATGCAGCACACTAGGAAACGGTCCTTGACCACAGTGTGAGGCGGCTCGTTTGTAAGTTAGCGTGATGGACGCCCCTAGCTCTTCGCGCGTTGCTTTTGGCCATGGTTCTGATTTGGTGTGTTCACCACTTAAAGGTGAAGTCTCTGCCCTGACCAAAATGGGGTGATCTTCCAGAGACCTGAGATTTCACCCAACTCACAAGAACCTGCCAATAAATAGCAGCCAATTCAGTCCTGAGACTGCCCTTTACTGTTACATGCCCTGGGAGGGTGGGGAGGGAGACCTATAGTCTTCGCCTTCTTGCCTCCTATGACAGGAGGCCACTGACATCTAACACAATGAACCCAGTATTTACGTGTGACCAGAGAAGCCCTAGCTTCTACCTTAGAGCTGAGAGGCTGACTTTGAATTCTGATCGGGAGACTTACAAAGGCAGAGGAGTAGACGGTGATATGCTGGTGAACGTTCAACAGCCAGTTTGGGGGGCGAGGATCAGGGAAGAACGCTGATTTATAGCGTTTGACAATTGCCCTGGTGTAAATACTCCACCAGCATGGCATCCCTGGGAGCAGATGTACAGTAGCACATGGACACATGGACAGAAATCATCTCAAGAGCGTAGATAGTAAAATGTAAAATAATCAGTTTTGAGTACTTATTACCTTAGCTTTTTAATATACCTTTGTCTTTAATATAACCTATTTAATCATAAGATTATATAACTTACATTTTAATAATGGCCATGCTTAACATTCGAAATTCAGGCACTGGTACATGCCACCTCCAGCACACCCGGGGCAGGTGACTCAGAGCATCGGGGACATGCCAGCCTGGCCTGCACCCTCTTCCTACCCCACCATCGCCTGGACTGCGCCTTCTGCCCGTGTTCCCACGTATCACTGCTTGGGGACTTATTTTTATCCCAAGACTGTAGGAAAAGTTGGTGGACTAATTTCAACGGTTCATCATTTCACAGGTAAATAAACTGATAAATATTGAGCTTGACAGTTACACTTCCCCAATCGACCCTGTGAAGAGATGTGCACGGGTGAATGTTCTCTCACAGACTCTCCAAAGCTCTACAAAGACAGAGAAATGTATGTGTGCTGCACTTTAAATATTTTCATTTATTCTATCTGTGCCGGCCAACGGTTTTAGAGAGAACAGATTTTAGAAAGATCAGATTTTAGAAATAAAGGAGAGTTGCATTTTTATATAAACAATTCAATAAAATAACTTCCTCATTTAGTAGAATCGGGATATATTTTTACCACTTTAAGTGACTGTAAACATTTTAAATGCTGTATCTTGGCTTTTATTATTTCATTTGTTAATGTCTGTTATTTATTTACTACTGAATCCATGCCCAGAAATGCAACCCTAAACTGCTAAATTATCCTAATGGGAAAATACTCTTTGATTTACAAGGATCCACTGTATGACGAAACTGCTGGGAATGCATTCTGGTGAAAAGCAGAAATGAATCTAGATTTTTTAAAAAGTTCTTGTTACAAAAATACTGCTATTTAGATTTATACATAAGACAAATTTGTGGACTTTGATAAGTAAATAGTGAAAAAACAGAGATTACTTTTAATGCTACGTTTATGATCACATAAAGGCATTTTTCTCCTAAGCTTCGTTATAGTAAAAATCTAGAGTTAAAAGAAAATAGAAATTTCTGTCACTGAAGTTTACTTGAAAATGTCATCACCAGGAAAGCAACTGAGGAAAACCGTTGAGGTGATGAGAAAGGGGTTACCTCCTGGGGGTCCCCCGGCGCCATCTTTCTGGAGAGCCCCCTCCTTCTCGGCCTCCAACCAGCCAGGTGGGGAGCTCGGTTCTCCCCCCAAGCGCCCAGGCTGCTGCACGGAGCTCAGACACACGTCCATAACCGGAGCCTGCCGGGAGGAAAGAACTGGACAAGACCGGAGTCACTCGGCCCAAGTCAAGTCTGACATTCCTGGAGGGCTCCAGAGGTGTAGCTTATGCAAGCCAAAAGAACGCCTGCTTTTCAGCTTAGTTCCCTGGGTGAGCAAAGCAGCCACCCAAGGAGCTCCCATCCTGGTTTTGCAGAGCAAGGTCCAGGGAGACCATTAAACATTCCCAAACCCACGTGCATGAAGAAATGCAGAAACAGCAGTTATAGCCTGAGAACGGGCACCACGTTGCTCAGGAGGCTACGGCAAGTTTTTGTTATTTTGCAAATTTATTCTTCGACATCCCTGCCACCCCCACCTCCCAATATTGTAGCACATCACTAAGTTCTGGGAGTCTCAAATGTATTTCCAATAACCCTTGGAACTGAATCTTAACAAAAATCTGTCCAGATTGCATACCATTGGGGGTTCTTGTGGATTATGGGGTTAATGACGTCATGGATGAGAAGCTGGGATTTGGTGCAAACATGAGGCTGCCCTCCTTTCATCTGAGGCTCTATTGCAAGATAGTAGAAAGCTCTGGACTGGGCCAGGAGCCTGATTTGGCTCCTTCTCTAACACTTGGCAACTCACTTAATCCCCTCAGTACCCATTTCCTCATCAGCAGAAAGGGAATAATAATATCTGCCTACCTCACAGGGCTGCAGTGAGAAGCAGAAGAGCAAAAAAGGGATTATTTAAGCAGGACAAAAATTATACCTGATTCAGAACGAGAGGCCTGGCTATTGGGATTATTGAGTAGCATCAAAATAATAATGCCTGACACTTCTGGACGACTTGCCCACCGGTGCTGAGCAGGGTTCTAGCGCTTTAAGTGGAGTCACTGAATCCTCTCAACAGCCCTATGAAGCAGATGACAGACATTCAGGCAAAGAGATTAAAAAACCAGCCCAACCAGACACAGCTGGCTAGGGACAGAGCCAAGAGTGAAAGCTGGGACGTCCAGCTGCAGAATCTTGGTTCTTGCCCACCAGACAGGACACAGCCTGAGTTGCCTTGGTTCTGCTGTGGTTTTCTTTGCCTCATTTGCCCTGAAATGACTCATAATGTTTAGCTTATTGTAAGTCCATCCTTTCACAGTGACATTTTCTGGTCTTTTTTTTTTTTTTTTTTTTATAAAATGTAAATGGTTTTCCTCCTCTGTGTTTACCATCCTCAGTTTATTCTCCACACATGACTTGCCCCATCACATTGTTTCGGCCGACCCAGGATAACAACTGGACACACCAGCCGTGCGTTACTAACTAGCTCACCTACGCCCAGCACTAAATCCAGCCATTCTGCTCAGGATCGCCCTCCGTGAACAAAGAAAGACCAGAAAGAGCAGCCCCTGCATGGTCTGTAATCCCATCACACACCTGGAGAGGCTGTGTGTCCTTCACATCTCTACGCAACAGATTTCAAAGTAATGAGACTGTCATGGAAGTAATGTGTCATTTTCATTGGCTCCAGAATCACATATTTACCCCAATTTTCCAACTCACCAAAACAGCCAAGAGTGCTCTACCAGTCTGTGGTTCACAGGAGATTTTTTTTTTCTCTTGTAAATACTTACTTGCTCCTTCCCTTCAGCTTTCCCACAACTCCAGGAAGTTAATTGTTCCCCCTAGAAAATAGCGGAGTGGTTGTTGAAAAGTCCATAGCAGGTCCTCAGTGTAGATGTCTCAGCAGCATAGTGAGGAACCTGCATTTAAATCTTAGCTCTGCCTTGAACAATCCATGTTGAAGATGTAGATAATGACACCTACTGCATATGGTGGTTGTGGGAAGGAAGAGAGGTGACCTGTGCAAAGCCCCTCATGCGTACAATATGCACTGTGGTTAATACCTCCAAAGCCATAGAGTCAAAGCACAGTGTGACACCGTATGTAGAATTCCAACCCGTCACCATGGGATGCTGCACATTAAATCTAAGACACTTCTTCATTTTGCATGCAAGAAAAGAAGAACTATCTTCATTCAAATACCAGGTGACACATTTCCTTGTGAAATGAGGTGACTCCTTCCCATCATTTTAGTTGATGTGAGAAATTATTTTTTTCTCAAAGACAGCTGTGCATGAAAAGCAATCTAGAAAATAACTACGGTAATCTACCTAGTGCCTGTTATTAATTCAGTGTTATTAGTTCATCTCCATCACAAGTTAGTATTTAATAAGGACTTTGGAAAGTCTTTTAAACTGCTTATTAGTACCCTCAAAATACTTTTGAACTCTTAGTTTAAATGTATCTTTACCTTATGCAGCAGAAGAGATTTGAGGTTTCTGTGCACCTATAATCCCCAATGTTTTATATAGGTCTACACCTGAAAGGATTAGCATTTTAGGAACAAAAGCCAGCCAGTGGAAGCCCAAGTTATTTAGGGTAGCATTACCCACCAGTACTCATAGACACATTACTTTGCTAGCAAAGTAGAATTCTCTCTCTCTGTGTCTCTCACTCACACACACACACACACACACACACACACACACAGACACACACGCACAGTCCTGGCAATGTGAAATGGAATTGCCCTCGAAAGATCCAGAAATATCATTCCAGCAAAACAGAGGCCGTCCCCTGTAGTATCCAGTTGCTGTGGCATGGTTTGAAATGCAGACTTCAGTTCACTTTAAAAAGAAGTGGGGGTTGGGTAGTTGGGGTTTTGTACAGACGCACAAACTCTGTGCTCATTTGCCAAACTCCTGTGGCTGCAGGGAGAACATGCCTGCCCCAGCCTCCGCCTAGGACCCTGATCCTGGCAGCCAGAAATAACACGGGAATCTACCGAGAGGGTGCGCTTTTGGGAGGAAGAAAGGAGACCGCCTATCGGTAAGAAGGGACGTGAGTCAAAGGCTTAAATTCGCATATGGAGTGTTTAGGATGAGCAGCAAGAATAGGAAATCAGAGAAACTATTCCAAGAAAAAAGTAAGCCATTGTAATATTTATTTAATTGAAATAAGGGACAGTCGGAAGGAGGAAAATCATGTGCTTATTTATGAAGCTTGGAAACCCTTAAAATAGGAGATAGATCATGTAAAGCCTCAGGCAAATGGGAAATAATCATTTATGATTATTTAACCAGTGAGCTGGATGAATGGTTATTTTGGCTTGAGTAGATATAAGTGCCTATTTTTATGTTTTTATCCACCCTTGGTACTTGCTTCTCTGTCGTCAATATTTTTTGTTCTTTATGTCGGTTTGTTTTCACTTTATCTGGATGTGCTATGGTCCCGTAACTATTAAATCTTCTTTCCCGCATCCTTACATGAAGGGAGATGATCTGGAGCTTTTTCAACTCTATCATTCTACTGTTTTCCTAGTCCCAAAATGGGTCCAGTTCTATGACTGCATTCTGCTTCTCTGTCACTTATTTCCACCAGGTGCCATCATCCCTGTAAGAAGTAGTAAAAAGGTAATCATTGTTGCAGTTTTATAAATAATTAAAACCTGATTGCAATGTATATGAATATTTGCATATATACGCACACACATATACACATATATTCATTCTACGTGCTTTCAAATGAAGAGAACAAAGGAAAAAAATTAAATCTCATTTAATTCCACCATCTAGAGAAATAAACCTAGTTAGCATTTTTTTGTGTGAATTTCTAGGCTTTTTTGGTATAAACTTGAAAAATAATATTTTACTGGGAAACCTGTACCTCTTTGACCTAGTATCCTATCATTTTAAGAGTTTCCTTTAAATGTTTTCTTCAGAAGTCATCTTTTAGGTAGCTGCTTTAAGAAATAAATGATAACTCTATTGCCTGGAGCTGGAATAAGTTAGATCAGAAGTTCTTAAATACGCGACTGTAGGTTAACTACAACAGAATGACCTGGAAGCTTTAGAATACATAAACTCTAGGCTCCTGGAAATTCTTGTTCAAACATGTGAGGAGGAAACTAGAAGTTTGAATTCCTTGTCTGAGAACTGTTCTTTGACGCGTTGTAGTGCCTGGCACATAGTAGGTGTTACAGTTGCTGCACCTGTTGTTGAGCGTGACCCCTTGAAGGCCTGACCAGCCACAGGAAGATCTAAGAGGTTCAGGGAGGGCCTGGTCGGCGGGGACAAGGCAGCTACACGAGTTGTTTTCAAATAGTTGAAGTGCCAGCCTCTGAAGAAGGATTAGGCCTCTGCGTGGCCCTGGAAGGCACGCTGATGAAGTCAGTTCCCGGGACGCAGATTTGGGCTCAATAGGAAAGAACTTTCTAACAAGTAGAGCAATGGAACAATTGATCTCAGGAGGCTTCGCATAATGGAAAGAGGGCCAGATCTGCAGTCAGGAGATGCAAGATTGGCTCAAAGGCTTATAAGGGTCAATAAATAGGCCAAGCGTGTGCTGTCACTCCCACCCTCTGCATCAGCATAGGCCATGGTGCTGCTGTCCCCCTCGTCCCAGGGGACATTTGGCAATTTGGGAGGAGGCACTTTTGGTTGTCACAGTAGAGGATGGAATGTTACTGGCATCTAGTGCATAGAGGCCAGGGATGCTGCTAACCATCCTATCATGCATGGGACAGCCCCCTCCAACCAAGAATTACCAGCTCAAAATGTCAGCAGTGTGGAGGTCAAACAACCCTGGGCCAGGCAGGGATCAGAGTTGTGATGCGAGATGAATTCTAATTGCCGTCCTAGGTGTCCACTAGCCACGGGAACTTGGGTAAGTTCCCTGTCCCCTCTGACTCTCAGCACCCTCCCCTATAGAGGGATTAACACAAAGCCAGTGCTGAGCTATATCTTCCAAGCATCCCAGCACCCTCTGTCTTACTTAGTCTGGTTTCTCCAAGAAGCAGACACAAAGACAAGAACGTGAGTGAAGGTATTTTAATCGTGAAATGTGAGCAACACAGCCAGGAAGATGGACGTGATCCAGGGAAAAGGTGAAGCTGGAGACTGCAGTAGGCGATGGAAGCTTAAACCCATGGGCAAACGCTGGGAAATGAAGCAAAATACACACCTCAGAACTATC